CACATGCCAAATTTTGTGGAATACCCGTAAATCCCTCTCTTGCAGGTTTGATTCTACACATGACTAGCTCTACATAGAAATTAATACACTTTGGAATTAAGGATCTATACCCCAATTCTAGCTAAAACTTACATTTGTGAGTTAGCACACATCACCAACCCCCCCCAGACCTATTCTCTCTCACAACCTGATCCAACCTCCTGCGCAATCCATGAGCCCAAAGTGTTTTAAGCTTGTGGACTGCCTTGGCATCCTTCAAAACCCACCAGGCAGCTGGAATCATATCATGAATATGCTGAAGCTCAGCTCTGTGGTCCAAAACTCAGCAAATGTAGCCAAAGTGGGCATGATACCCATACTTGCCGTCAGTGAGATTATTTATCTTGAATTAGCTCCCTTGAGCAACCAATCAATAAAAGGTTCATCTGATCATCCATTTATAATTGACAATGCTCAATTGACTGATTGCTATCTCTACAATTGTGGTACTCAAAGCTCCATATGTACACGTACATAGTTGCCGTATATAGTTTTTTTTTTGGTGGGGAAAAAACAAAAGAAGTATATTGGAAGTATTTTGACCGCCAAAAAAAACTATATACAATAACTATGTACATAAACATAGTTGCTTTGAGTACCATAAATGTATGTAATTTGTGTTTACACAAAATATTAAAGACAATGTGTGATCCAGTCGGAGCAGTATCATCTTTTATGATACAAATGTTTTGTCTGCGTTGATGATTGCTTTACCTCATGAAAATTACTCAAAAATTGAGAAACAAGTCCACAGAAACTCCTCATATCATTTAAAAGTTGACGGGTCCTCATTGTTTGTTCTACTTTTTGGTTGATTATCAATGTTTTGAGCCAGGAATCGTCAAGAATTCTTGTTCTGAAGGTATCAGAGTTGATAAGTTGAGTTATTGATCACAATGATTATCATCATTTCAAAATTAAAGCTAACACCTTGACAATGAGCTTATCTGGAATAAATCACTATCTGACTACAATAAGGGTACTCAAAGTAAGTATGTACGTGTACATACTTTTTGCTATATACTTTTTTTGGTGGGGAAGACGAGGCCAAAAGTATATTTTTTTCTTTGTCCCTGCCAAAAAAAGTATGTAGCAAAAAGTATGTAGCGCTACATACTTTACTTTGAGTACCCTTAATGTAGTCAGAATCACAACTCACTACATACAATTAAGGTCCTTAAGGCCAGTTAAGCTGTCCTAGGGTGTGCAGGGGTCTGAATAGCTTGCTTGATGATTGGACTTGTGGAGGCAAGTTTGTAGATACTTTTAATTTGTTTTGCTTGTCGGAGGTGTTCTTGGATGTCCCAAAGTGAAATGTATTCACACATGGGTTTACGACATGCAATTTTAAGGTTTCATGCTTTTGCCACGGTTGATGATAACCCATAGTATGAAAGTGTCCCTCAACTAGGGCTGTGACCCAATCCCAATCCCGCCCTACCTGGTCTGCCCAACAATATATTTGAGGCAGACGGTCCGCGCCCTGGTCACTTTAAACCTAACGTGATGAGACATCCAAAAGGCCTGCGGGCGTCCCGGCGGCTCCGACCCGCAGGGCCGCCATCCATATATCTTCTCACAAAAGAAGCTTTCTCAGGATATCCAATTCTCGATATTCAACCTTATTTTAAATTTTAAGTTTCATTATACAGTAATACCCCAGCTGCCCAAAGTCGGACTTTCTCATCTTACTCATTAAACTCCAATGTCTTTCAATCTTAGATTTCCAATGTGGTTATCTACTATTACCTCGTCTACTACCTCCATCGCTCCCTCAGATTCTGTTTCCAAGGTCGTTTCTGAAGCCACGACCACTGGTCGAACCTCGTGGGTTTGGCAATATTTCACCCAGCAATTGATTGAAGGCATCTTGAAGAATGTGTGTACTGCAAAAGAAGGCTTTGTTGATAGTGTCACGGCTGCTGGTGAAGAAGACCCCAACGCTCCAGTTGCCCTCTGCAACCGCCAAATGGCTATCAATCGACACGCCAGTACAAAGTCCGTGATCCGGCACTTGTCAAGATGCCAACACATTGAACCACCCGTCAATACTGATCAACATACAATGACGGTGTTCTTCATGAATGGCAAGATTGCCAATGTAAGTCATTCTTTGTCTCTTTTTTTACTTTTGTTTCTCCAACCTTTATCTCCTTTTCACTGACAGAATCTTTTTTTTATTAGGTCAAAAGCCTCAAGCAATTCAATCTCAAGGACGCCCTCATCCAATTGGTTGTGAACCAAGAACTTCCAATCTCCCTAGTCAACGCCCAGGAGTTTAGAGAACTGATTACGATGATCAATCCCCAATCCCTTTCCATTCTATCTAAGAGAACTTGCATCTCTGAAGGGATTGTTGACGAGTTTTGATCTGCTCGAACAGCTATCACCCAGCTACTTTCTTCCGTTCGTCACATCAGCATCACCTGTGATGGCTGGACTGCACCAAGCAATGTCGCCATGCTTGGCGTTGTAGAACTTATAACCCAACAAGGGTTATACAGAGCTGGAAGAGGATAATCTACTAATATAAGGACTAGTAGAAGTTGTCTAAGGACTGCTCTTCTAAAACAACACAATCAGGAAAGACTCTGTTGTATTGAGTAATGATAAGGCACCAGAGAAATGTATCTTCACATGTATTTTAACTTCAAAAGCACACTTTGTATTACTTTCAACACTGCTATAGTGTTATTCCCAATTGATAACTAAAGAAATAAGCAATATCTGATTGATATTATTCCCAATAAGTCTTTATGACTATAAAACTAAAGTAAATTTCTCTTTATAGCTGTAATAAAGGGTGTATTTAAGTGACCAGGTACTATTAAAATAAGTTTATGATGATAAACAAAATAATAATGGCGTAAATGATAAAGAAAAAAAGGGGAACAACAGTCCCAAAACCCTCTCAAAGTATATATAACAATGTAGTAGAACTTTTACAATGGTCAACAACCTCAAAACCAATCAAATCCGCCCAAAATTCCCTCAAAACCCTATGATGACGCAATGTAATGGTTTTGTTACTAATAAATGATGTAATTTTCACAGCTAAAAGTGATCAATGACGCAATAATATGATGTACAGCACTTCTTATGATGAATACAGGTGATTTTTTCCTTGTAAACTAGCTGAAAACCAATTTTTGAGATTACAAAGTTTTTCAGATGTGCTCCAATTTTTGATTACTAAAGTGCATCTTGTAGCCCACGTGTTACTGATCATTTCTGACACCTACATGACCTACTTCTGATGAGTGATGAGTAAGATATTGAGTTGTGAAGTTAAGGTTTTGAGCATTACATGTTGACTTGTGACTGTAAATTCGAGATTCACATCAATTCTTTATTTGCCTTATAACTTTTTTCATACACCTCCGCTACTATTGATTTAAAGTTTGTACATTATGTAATCCACTCTTCTGCGTTGAATGAGCCATCTACCAACCTATTCTCACGTCATTTGACATATGTAATTAGCTGAAAACCTCCATTTTCCACGAAATTCACCCATTTTCTCCACTTTTCACAGCTGCTACTCTCTTTTTCTTGCTCATGTAATATGACATCATCCTCTATAACCTTAAAAATCCCGGAAAATCCTCTTGGCAACCTTAAATTCCATTACTACCGCTATTACATAACCAAACTACACGTGTACCTCTTGTTTACCAACTTCGAAAAAGTGCCTTTTCCCTAATAACTTCTGTTTCTCCTTATCAACCTTCAAGATTACAATTGTCATAGTATAATATAATGTTGTTCTTTCATATTCTAACCTCATAATACCCATAACTTCATTTTTACTAACCTAAAAACCATTTTCCAACCTATATACCTATAATTTCGAATTTTTCTTATGTTTTTCTTTCTTTCTTTTTGTAATGAGTTTGTAAGTAAACTATAATGATCTTAATGAATGATGTGAAATAAAATGATGTAATGTTAACCTAATGACCAATACATAAGCCTACAAGAGCTTCAATTGATCTAAAAACCTCCGTTTTGAATTTTCTTTCCTGCTGAATCCTGCTAGTAAACTGGTAAACTGGTAATTATGAATTTTTTAATTGATCCCATAAATTGATCACCACAGCGTCACAGCCCATTGGATCATGGACGACTTCAAGATGTACGGTATTACTCTTGCTCTTAAACCCATCGAGGGACCTCAAACCGGCTCTAATCTTGCGGGACTCTTGAAGCATATCTTGGACCGATTTGAACTTACCAATTGTCTGTATTGTATTACTGCCGACAACGCTTTCAATAACATGACCATGGGCCAACACCTTTCAACGATGATTCCACATTTCAATTCCACTCAAATTCTACACGGCTGTGTAGCTCATGTTATTAATCTAGTCGCCAAAGCCGGATTATCTGTATTCAATCGTTGATCTGCCCCTGCTCCAGTGAACGCTCTTGATCCCACCTTACCTCATCAAAATCCTTCTGCTATTCCCCTTTTTATTGAGCCTACCCCAAATGCCAGAATTACTAGCATACTCACTTGAATTCGTGCTTTCCACAAAAAAGTGAATCATAGCAGCCAGCTCAAGATGGCACTCAACAACGCTATTGAAAGCTGTCAGAAGTTGGATCGCAAGGTCGGATTGGTCCATGAAGTATTGACACGCTGGTCATCTACCCATGCTTCACTTGAACGACTTTACAAACTTAAACGAGTCATCAAATATCAATGCAAAGGCGATCCATCACTCAAACAGTTTCTACTTGAGGATGAGGAATGGGACCTCGTGAAAAGCATTGTTCACTTCCTTGCTCCACTTGCTGCTGTCACCAAATTGCTTGAAGGGCACAAGTACCCCAACTTCTCACAGGTGATGCCAGATTACCAATGGCGGGTTGAACGTCTTGAAACGGTCAGTCTTTCTAATTTTCTTAATTCTCATGAGTATCATATGCTGACTTAATCTTTCTGTCTTGTATACAGGCCTGGCACGACTCTGACTGCGTGGAATTGAAGGTTGCAATCCTTCCGATGTTACGCAAGATCGTGCAGTATCAAAAAGCAGCTCAGTCCAAGGCCGTCTACGTTTGTTCGGCAATACTAGACCCTCGCCTCAAAATCAACACCATCAAAGGCTCGACTCTAGAATCTCTTGGCTGGGGTCAAGAGGACTTGATCGGATACTTTACTGAAGAAGCCCGCAAGTTCAGACCGATCCTTGATCCTGAAATCGAAGTGGTCAAACCCGAAGTTGAAGCCATCAACCCAGATCGCCCTCATCACTTCATCAAGCGCCGCAAGACTGTTCTTGTTGAGGACGAGGTCAAAGAATATCTCTCTGCGCCTCAAGAAGACGAGATATGTGATCCTCTCCATTTCTGGCTTACCCATTGTCATCATTGGCCTATCCTGTCACGCATGGCAGCTGCGATGCTCGCGGTTTCTGCCACTAGTGCTGCATCTGAAAGCACCTTTTCAAATGCCTTGCGAGTTATGAGTGATCATTGTGCATCATTTACTCCCCTCAATCTTGAGGCTCAGGTGTGTCTTAAGAGCTGGAATAAGGTGTTAGGAGTCAAATGAGTAGGAAATTTTTATCAAAGTAAGATTATATCACTTAAAAGAATGTTTCTGTTGCGTGAATTTGATTTAGTTCTCAATATCTCACTTAAAAACAAGTTTCTGTTGGGTGAATTTGATTTTTCTCTTGACTTTCTAAGTAGGATTATATAACTTCAAAAAATTGTTTGTCTTTGAGTGATTTCTCTTTACAATTTGTTTATGTCGAGTGATTTTGTTGCCTAAAATCAAGAAGAAATGAAGAATTTATGCCCTCCCTTGTGTCTCTTAAAATTAGGCCTAGCCCTGACAGGCCCTGAGTCCTAAGATTCAGGGCGTGACCTGATCAACCCGAGTCCAATAACCAGAGGCTACGGGTCTACCCAGGGCCCAGACGGGGCCGGCCACGAGCTCTCAGGGCCGCGTCAGAGCCCTACCCTCAACCGACCAATTGAGTGAAAAAAGGTTGTATCACCACACCACTCACTCAACTTTAACGACCCTCATATCTCATCATCAACGTTCAGAAAACAATATCAACTTTTGAGTTCAGAAACAAATGCCTTACCTGAACACAACTTCAGATGTGGAAATCTATTACGAAGTTCGCCAATCGACTCAACCTTCAGCACCATGGCTTTTAATCCTACATCCAATCTTCTTAGATTTAACCTTTGCTTCAATCTATATAGACGGAAAAGGAGAATTACTTGAAAGATTTAATATTATTTTACTTGACTGTAGATCACATGGTCGGACTAGATCTAAAGTTTCACCTTCATGTGATCTTTGGACTTTATCAGCGGATTTAGCTTTAATCTTACTTAAATTGAAAATTTATCAAATTCATATTTTGGCTTCTGATAGTTTGTCTACTGAAGTTTCAATGCGATTTGCTGGTTTGTTTCCTGATACAGTACTTAGTCTTTGTATGTGTGCTATGCCACCTGCTACTGAGTAAGTTTAATGATGTCATGGTCTTTTTTCTCCTCACGATTTTTGAATTTTTTTGTTGATCGATTGTTTCTGTGATGCAGGAAGGGATTCGTTCAAACTGCTTTCTTCACCGTCTTTTCTTCATGGCTTGATCCTGAGGTACCAGAAGATTGGGAAGCTTGTAAGTAATTTTAACTCATTATAACCTTATCTCTGGAAGCCCACCCTAATGATATCCTTCTCATTTGCTTATCGTGGTACACTTCAGCCGTATTAGCAACTCAGTGGTGGCTTTATGGTCCCAAGACACGTCATGATCCCCAAATTCTCGATACGTGGGCCGGTGCTATGATGAGACGTTACCCACCTTGTAAAGCTGTCAAATCGTTTGGGAGCTGTGTGGCTTATACCGAGGTATGGTCGTGGTTAAGTTTTAGTCTTGAAGTACGACTTTGCTCATATATTCAACTTTTTTTAACAACAATAGCGTGAAGCCCCACCTGCTGGTCTTTACAAATTACTTCGATGTCCGATCTTGGTTCTTCATGTAAGTATTGGTCCTTTGATATGGAATCTGTCCTGAATTTCCATACGACCAAATTTCCATACGACCAAACTGATATTTGGTGTTTAATATGGTTGGATACATTTAAGGGTAACTTTGAAAATATTTATGACGTTCCGACTGCCAAGGCCCGATTTAGGGAGTTCACGGAAGTGGGACCTGGGAGCGAGTTTAAAGTACTCAAAGGTGAGAGACTGATAAGGTTTGATTGATATCAGATCCTAAACATGGAAGTTCTTATTTGCTTTTAAAACTCATCAACCTCCGATCTCGGTCCCTACCTTTTAGGTGCACCACTTCAAGCATTCGATGCAAACCCGGATTTAATCAAATCATTTTACTACGAATGGATTGATTCACATTTATCCAATCAATCCACGAAACAACCTGAAGAATCATTGAAAAAACCACCTGATTTGAAAAAAGCATTAGAAACTTTATCAAAACTTTATGAAAATCCAAAAATTTTAGAAAGAGATTTTCAATGCGCTGAAAGTTTTCATGGTTTATCTGAGGAAAAAATTAACTCGAATTTTGAAAGATTAAAGTTTTTGAGTTCAATTGAAAATTCTAAATTTGGTTTTATTGGTGGGAATGCTCCTGAGATTTGGACAGGTGCTTCATTTGAAGAAATACATCCATGGAGGTTTGTCTTTTGCATCCTTGGCGTTTTTTAAGGACTTAAATGCATTAATCCATGTGGCTGATATTGGAAGTGTTATTTTTGGTTTTAGGTTTTCTTCGAGGTTAACGGGTGAAAATGGAGTTAATTCAGAGGTGCAAGAAGAAATTATACTTGCTATTACTGAAGCTACAATGGAAGATGATGATATGGAAGATGATGAAATGGAAGAAGATAAAATGGAAGAAGATGAGATGTGTTGAAAAGTGGGCAAAAGATTTGAAATCTTTCTTATGTGATGGCTTAAAGGGGCTTATATCTCATTTGAGATTCAGGTGGGATTTTTTATTCTAGGTTGTTTCTTTATTCGATTTTCTGAAGTCAAGTATGAGAAAAAGATGTTTTCAGATTGAGTTTGTGAACCTTTTGTGATATCTTTTGTGTACCTGTTTCATTTTGGGCAACATAGGGAAAAGAGAGAAAGTTTCAATGATTGCTTTTATTTATCTATATGTCTATTTTTCTTGTGATGATATTGAAGGTTTGAGTTTTTGTTGTAGGATGTTGCATTTGATTGATCTTCAGCCTTTTTTTGGCTTCAAAACAGATCATATATGTTTGATGGATTTTTTCTTTTGTTCTATTCACGAGAGAAATTCCTCTACTTGAATTTTGTCATCAGATGAATGATCCTCATTTTTCACAAGATATTATTTCTTTGAATGGTCATATTTGTATGGGCTGTTGGTGCCATCCTAGGCTTTGATTAAGGTATCTGAAGGGCAAAGAAGGATTCAAGCCTATCCAATGTCAATCCATCAAAGTATGATTTATAATCTACTCTTTTGTATTTATTTCACTTTATTAATTGCCACTGCTCTCAAAAAGTTAGGTCAGATAGATGAGAGGTTCATTGTTTGACTTGTCTGGGTTTTTGCATGGTTTTTATAAGCTGATTTTTGTAACAAGTGTTTGGGTGTCAAGCTTCATAAAAAGATACCAACTTTGTTGGCAAGTCAAATTTCTCATCACCTGGAAAACAAAGTCCAATATTCTTGCTTGATTGATTAACCTGTTGTCTGACTATGAAAGTACAACATCAAATATGATAAGTAAAAGGCTTTTGAGATGACTAAATGAGAATTTTGGAGTTGGACCAAAGGAGTTGGATGGACTTGTGGAACTTGATTGTAATCATGGAATAGAGTGTTTGAAGAGAAGGTCTGGGGGTTTGTAAAGTAACAAGGATAGTGCGTCAAATGAAGAAAGAAGAATACTAACCTAATCCTATCATTGGTCCTCCAATGTTCACTTCATCATCTAGTAAGTCATCTGTCTCTGCATCTTCTCTGATTCAACTTCCACCTTTGTTGCCATCATTAAACATCTTCCCCTCTTCTCTGTTCTCCTCTTCTTCCATATCATTTTTGTCCTCCTGATTTCCATCATCTTCTTCAACTCCTCCATTACTTGATATTCTTTTATTTCCATCTTCACCTTAACCTTTGCCTGGATTTTCCTCAACTGATTCATCTGTACTCTCCATCTTTTGCTTTCCTTTTGCCTTTCCTGATTGTGTTTGAGTATTAGTTAAATTTGTATTTACCAAAGGGCCAGGTGTTGGTCCTTGTATTTTGATTTTTTCCTTCTACTACGTTGGCATAGATTTTTGATGACATTTTTTTGAATTAATTTGTTCTATCTTGTGAATTCATTTTTATAATGTTCTGTTTGCTTAGATAATGTGTTAATGTGAATATAGTTGTCAGGATAAGAAAATTAAGAAAAGAAACTGTTTGGATGAGAAATAACTGACTGTTATTTCTCCTGCTGAAGAATGTCTAAGCCAAAAGATCTATGGAGCATCAAAGGGAGGAAAGGTATCTCTCTTCCTTCCAATTCCTCCCAATGTTTTCCTTTGGTAAACCTAACTGGATCTTCCCAATTGACCGGTCCCAGTTGTGTCAGGGCCCGGTCTTCTTTGATACATTCTAGGGCTGTGACCTGGCCCTGGCCCTGGCCTGCCGAGTCTGCCCAATGTCTTTCCAAAGGCACACAGTACATGCCCTGAAACATGTGATTGGGGTGATGAAAGCCCTGCGGGCACCTCGGGTGGGGCCGGGTCGTTCAAGGCCCACTGTATTTTTGCTGTGTTGACAAAATCTTTCTTTCTAAATTTCCTCCTATAGCTCTTTTTGATTTTGATATAGGCTCATGTAGCTTCTACAAAGCATCACACACACATAAACTTTCCATAAATTTCACAATAATCACTGTATTGCCCAGGTTTAGCCCCTATAATCAGCTCGGGGTGTGCTCTGGTTGGCCCTGAGCATGTTCCAAAGGCCCTCAGATGCACTCAGGGTTGGGCAAAGCCCCGGGGCCGGTCACAGCCCTAATACATTCTTCCCTAGACCCTTTTCATTGGATCATACAGGTGCTGTTGTGCCTTTGGGCACCTGTAGCATAGATGTCAGGTGTTTGGTGTCTGAACTCTGTGAGCAGTATTTATACCAATTGAATCGGAACTGCAAGCCTTGAATAGCAGGAACCATCAATCATTGTTTTTTATTTGTTACCCAGTGTTTTTAAGTTGTATCCCTCTGTGACATTTATTCATTGCATTCTATACAGAAGGGCTTGAAAACGGTTGCAGAATGACATTCAATACTCAATACCATATATCCAAAAGGGCCTGTCAGTGTTACTGAGTATGTATACACCGTCTATCAGGCAAGAGAAAATTGCACCACCAGAACTTGCTGTGATGAATTGGAGGATAAGCATACATTATCAATTAAATACAACTGTGGTGCTAATCCCTTCCAGACCAGAGAGAGGAGAACAGTCTGAGCTGGCTTTGAGGTATGGGAGGATGAGTGTCAATAACATGTGTAACAAGTGATATATGACTGTTACAAGCTGATTACATTTGATTTACATATTCAACTTGGAATCCACTAATGGTAATCAAGTCTAGAATCTGAAATAGCAGAAGAAACAGGAATCTGTGGCTACTAACTGTAAATGGGCTGAAAGAGGACTTGTAAGTGCTTGTGGTGATTGGTATGGATGGATTGGGTGTTTGATAAATCTATGTAAACTTGGTTGTAATTGTCAAAGCCCAGGACCAAAAAACAAGACAAGAACAAGGGTTTATATTAGGGGGTTTCAAGTTTGAATTTTTCTTGTTTTTTTTAAAAAATAAATTGGGCCAGTTTTTCATCAAATAAACTTTGTGAAATTGAGGTATTTTTAATTTGGGACACCTAAAAAGGTATTGTGCTTTAAAAAAAATTACACATCTTTTGCAACAACAGGCAAGTTGTTGTAGTGTAAGGATACATAAAAACTTTCAACTTGAAACCCCCTAATATACCTGTCAGAACAACAGGTAAAGCACACAGCAAGTGTGAAATAACTTCAAACTAAATACAAGGGTGATCATATGAGCAGATTAAGCTTAACTAAGCCCCTCTTGCGCAGCTGCGTCCGCGCCCCTCGAAGAGGGGCTTACAACGGACTCGCACTTTTTGGCAGGAGAGCTCCAAGAGTTAAGTCCCTTTATGTTGTTTTTTGGACTTCTCCTCAAATCCTCACCGTAGAAATTTGCAAACTTCTGGTATGTTTTTCTTCATGCCTATGTACATTTGCTGACAGAAGTTTCATGAGAAAAAGATAGCTCTGCGTGCTTTGAGAGCTGTGTCAAGAATGGGCCTTACAAGGCCTTACGTCCTCTTGTAATGACCTAAGCCTTCTTCATATGCCTCAGATACAAAATTTGAAAGCACTTAAGCACATGAATTACCAAATTTTCATCACATATTTATAACAATTCCCCTCAAGGTGAGACAATCTATGAGGTACCAGATCATGTACAAAGGTGTGAAGAACAACATAGTCAAAACTTGAGAAATTCTACATTGCGGGTTTGAGGAGAAGTGTGAAAAATTACTTAAGGGACCTTAATTCTTGGAGCTCTCCTGCCAAAAAACACAAGTCCGTTGTAAGCCCCTCTTTGAGGGGCGCAGACGCAGCCGCGCGAGAGGGGCTTAGTTAAGCTCATGAGCAGATCCAGGCGCAACTAGCTTTGGATCATGTTGCTCATCACAAGTAAACGGTACATGTAGATCTTCGTGTGTAATAAACTAGATCAAGCGTGTGTAACACTTTATTCCCATATAATCCTGGAAAACCTTTGTAATTTATCATATTATAACCCATATTTTTAGCACAAGAGCCTTGCACTTATCTTTGTGGCGGCCATTGCGTGCCAAGAAGGTCATTTTTAGATGAACAGCTGCTAAGTTCATCCACCTCAGTTGCTTGAACTAAGGCTACATCAGATTATTAGAGAGATCATCATATAACAAACCATGCAAGATCAATTCCAAATTTATCTGTGTTCATCTTGTTTGTTGAACAACGCGTTTATCTTTTTGACTATTACATAGTAAGAGAACCATGGAAATAGAATAAGTAGAAACAGAGTAATTGAATATAAGTAATAATAGAAATGAGTGTTTTGTGTGCCATACATGTAGTTGGTTATCATGTGTATGAATTTGTATGTAATTGTCTTACATGTTTTATTTATTTTACTTACTACATGTAGTTGGTTAATCTACATGTAAATGCTCAATTACATGTATATTATTCATATGCATCATACATAATAAGGAGATGGTGTTGACTACAAAAAATGTCGATATACGTGGTCTGTGTTACGGTCCAACAACGTCAGACTGTCGCGGTCCACACTCTATTCCACTTTCCCAGTCTGCCAAGACGTTATCAAAAATTTTTTTGCCTACAACGCTGAGCCACTCCCAAACCATTGCCTAACCTAGCCCCCAAGCCACAATGCTGAGCCTCTACCCAACCATTGTCTAACCTAGCCCTAAATACACCTTCATAGTAAGTCAGATCTCAATCAGTCAACAAGTAGTTTACCTATTCTTATTTTTAGACTGCAACAGTTTTATCCAGCACGGTCAATCTATATCCAATATCCCAACCACGTACTCTCGATCGCCCTCAACATCCATTATCCAATCGCCGGACACTCGATCTGACTGCCCAGTAGTCCCAACAACAATACAGTCCGCTTTATGGACGTGCGGCAAATTACTACAATAAACACAGTGACCAAATCAGGTGTAAGTGATCACAATCACATTTGCACCCTCTTTTCTGTAGCCAATACTCTAATCAGCAGCACATCACACGCTCGCCCATTCGCCTGGTCCTTTTTGACACGTTT